CAGTTTTAGTCCACGTAGAAAATAGCGGGATGCCTAAGTTCTGTGGAGCCACGGTCGCCAGCAGGACTGTGGCTGCGGGTAAGACCCCGGGTAAATCCTTTTCTGGGATAAGATCCGGGTGCGGTGGCCACTCGCTTTCTGGGAGGGTCAGCCATGGTGGGCCTTCCCACCAGAGCGGGTGCGCGGGAAGCTCAGAGGGTGGGATTCCTCTGGAGGCGGGATCGCTGGGGTTAGACTCTGACGGCACGTACTTCCAGGTAACGGACGCTGTTGTGTCTCGAATCTTCCCTACTCTGTTAGCGACGAACGTGTCGAGTCGGCTATTCGAAGCTATCCAAGATAGCACAATCGTGGAGTCAGACCAACCTACGACTTTTTCCGGAGCAAAGTCAAGTAGTAGAGGGAGATACGCTTCAAAAAGACGAGTCAGGAGTACAGCTGCGCAAAGCTCTAGGCGTGGAATTGTGACTTCCTTCTTAGGGGCGACGCGAGTCTTGGCGATGATTAGCGAGACTTTCGCTGTGCTTGCGGTTTCGTTAGCGGCGGAGCGGAGATACAGAGCGGCGGCGTACCCACAGATGCTAGCATCACAGAAACCGTGAATCTGATAGCTAGGGGCGGGGCGGTGCATCAAGCGCGGAACGGTGACCTGTGTGAGTGCTGAGAGTTCGGCGGTGAAAGAGTCCCATCTCTGCTGTACGTTGGGAGGGAGCGGAGTGTCCCAATCTAGCGGCAAGTTCCACAGCTCCTTGATGAAGGTTTTGGCGCCTAAGACGACGGGGCTAAGCCAGCCGCAAGGATCATAGATGGACGCCACAACGGACAACACTCCTCTCTTTGTCCTGGCGTCTGTGTCCAAGCGAATGAGGTAGGTAAAAAGGTCTCTCTTGGACGCCCAGTGCAGTCCGAGAAGAGAGTAGCGTGGATTTTCTGGGTCGTCGAGGAACGGGCACTCCAGATCTTCGGCTGGGACTCCTTCCAGCACTCGTGCGTCGTTGGAGGTCCATTTGCGGAACCGAAATCCCCCTTTGGAGGCGAGTGTCTCTATCGCTACCTTCCTGTTCTTGGCAGCTTCGACGGTGGAGGCTCCAGTTAGCAGGTTGTCGACGTAGACCTCTGATGTGAGCGCTTTCGCGGCGTCAGGATTTTCTTGACCGTAATCGGTCGCGGTTTGTTGCG